GGAATAGACTTTGGCTATTCACCCTATCCATGCCCCTCATGATTTTACAAATTTCTAAAAGGTCACCCCTCAGCCTCTGTCGCTCCAGGGAAAATAGCCCCAGCCTATTCAGCCTCTCCCTGTATCTCACCCTTTAAAAGAAATGTGCTTTAATTTTCCGTACTGTTTTGATTACTGCCTATTGCCCTCCAAATTGGATCTGGATGTGATATTTGCTGCTAATTTTATCTCTCTGGTTGACAGATTGGCCTTTGATCTTGCAGCTGGTCCTCTTCTAGCTTTGAAGACTACCCTAAATTTTTCACACAATCCAGTCACCTTCAAATTTCTCCCATTCACCATCCCTGCTCAACCATTATCCCCAGTTCTAAATGGCCAGTTAAACAGAGGGAGAGCAACAGAAAAAGGAAATCAGAGAGAGAGAGGGAGAGAGAGACAGAGAGAGAGAATGAAACATTAAGAGTGAGAGAGATAAGGAAAGAAATATTGAGAGAGGGAGAATGAATCAGAGAAAGAGAGGCAATCAGTCAGAGAGTGGGAATGGATCACAGAGAGAGAGAGAAGAGGAATGAATTTCAGAGAGAGAGAGAATGAATCAGAGAGAGGTAATGAAGCAGACAGAGAGAGAGAGAAGAGGAATGAATCAGAGAGAGAGATGGCATGAATCACAGAGAAAAAAGTGCGAGGGAATCAGACAGGAAGAGAAGGAATGAATTAGAAAGAGAAAAAAGATATTAATCACAGACAAAATGAAAGAGAATAAATCATAGATAACTCCCAAAAGATTACAATGTAGTTTGCAGAATATATTTCCATTTTAAGACCATTCCTTTAAAACTTCCCTGATAGCTCATTCAGTGTGACATTCCAGGTTCTCTCTGTCCCCAGATAGCTACTGAATTTGGATTCACAGTCTTTTTTTTTGATCAAATGACCTATTTTCTTTTTACAAAAGCCCAAGTTGTAACTAAAAGTTCAGTCTGTCTCTAAGTAGCAGCTCTGGGTACCATACTTTAGGAAGGACATATTGGCCTTAGAGGGAGTACAACGCAGGTTTACAAGAATGAAACCTGGACTTCAGGGGTTAAGCAATGAGGAGCGATTATACAAATGAGATCTGTTTTCTCTAGAATTTAGAAGGTTAAGGGATGATCTGACGGTCTTTAGGTTATTAGCAAGAAAAGACAGGATAGGTAACCGTAAACAATTTCTACTGATTGGGACACAGTCTGAGAATTAGGGCCAGACTGTTCAGTAGAGATGTTAGGAAGAACCTCTGCAATCATTGGGATGGTAGATGATTGGAATTTTCTTTCACAAGTGGCAGTGAATGTTGGATCAGTTGTTAATTTTAAGCCTGAACATAGATAACTTTTTGTTAAGCAAAGGTATTTAGGGGTATGGGCCAAAGTAGATATATAAAGTTAGGCCACAGATCAACCATGATCTCATTGAATAGTGGAATGGGCTTGAGGGGCTGAATGGCTTATTCCTATTCCCATGTTCTTATGTTCCTGAGTACTTTGCGATCCCTCCATCGTTTTGACATAGAAAATTGTTTAAATAATGAGGCTGTTAGATGCTGGTATTCGAAGGAACCTTGGTGTCCAGGTAGAACAGGAAGTTACTATTTGGCTGCAATAAGTAATTAAGAAGGCAAATGGCTACTTGCCTTTATTCCAAGTGAGCTTCCAGGAAAGACTAAGGAAGTTCTGTTCCGATTGCACACGACTTTGGTGAAGGTACCTCTGGAGAGCTGTGTACAGTTTTGGTCTCTGTACCTAAGGAAGGGTATGCATGCTTTAGAGAGGGTGCATTACATGTTCATTGGATGTGGGATAATAAGATTACCTCACAAGGAGAGATTGAGTGGAATGGGACTATAACCTCGGCAGTTTCAATGAGCTGGAGGTGATCTCATTGAAACATGTAAGATGCTGAGAGGAGATGATAGATGCTGTGAGACTGTTTCACTTGATTTGAGAGTTTGATATTAGGATTCATAAACTCAGGATAAGGAGTTAACCTGTTAGGACTGAGATGAGGAGGAATTTTTCAGTTGATGATGGTGAATCTTTATAATCCTCAGACAGAGTGAGCAGTGGTTGCTGAGGTATTGAGTACATTCAAGGCCAGGAGTGATGTATTTCTGGATTTTAACAGAAGCAAGGGGGTAATATGTGGAAGATAAACAATTATACATTACATGAGTGAAACTCCCAACTTTCCTCCATCTGGTCCTTCCCAGTCACTATCCACATCTGGAGCAATGATCAGACACTACAAGGAAACAATGTAATTTCTGACCCATTAGCCAAGGTCCAGTTGCACAGCAAGAATCAGGGGAACTGTCTGTCATCCTTCAACTCCTCAGTACATGTGGTCCGAGCCTGTGGTATTCAGCGGTTCGTTACCCCCTGCAAGATCAGCTCAATGTGTGACTAAAGGACACTACCTTTGGTTGAGATCCAATGAGAAGTGTCAAAATGCCCTTTTCAACTTTTACAAGAACGCCTAGGAAACCAAACATTGCAATTAGTTGATAAGTGTTATCCAATGAATCCTTAGCACTGTTTCAAGTGGCAGTGTAAACAGTGCTTGACCTTCAATTTAAAAGAGTGGAGGGAGCTTTATTCTGTATCTAACCCTGTGCTGTCCCTGTCCTGGGACTGTTTGATGGAGGACAATGTAGAGGAAGCTTTACTCTGTATCTAACTCAGTGCTGTCCCTTACCTGGTGTGTTGGATGGGAACAGTGCAGAGAGAGCTTTACTTTGTATCTAACTCCATGCGGTCCCTTACCTGGGTGTGTTGGATGGGAACAGTGCAGA